TGTAAATGAAAAGATAAAACTTCCTAAAAAATTCTGATAGTAAAAAAAATTAAATATCATAAATGAGATAAATGAGAAATGGGACATTTTAATTCCGCGAATCTTCAGAAAGATTCGAAATTCGAAAGCTGGAATCTTCATGTTTTTTTTTTTTTTTTTGGTGATTCCAAGATTTCTAATCTTAACCTAAAATAACTATTAAACGTTTTAACTCAGAACATTAGGAAGATTCGCAGTTTCAGTACTACCTGGAGCACCAGTATAACTTTGCGGCAGACCGTTTAGGGAAATCTACAGGGATTTTTATGGAATGCATGCCTTTTGCTTTCTGGAAAACTTTCGACATTGACACTCTAATTGTGTCATTAGTTCTGGACATAGATAACCTGAATGTTTCTAACAACTCGTACCATGGTACATAAACGCTGCACTCTGTACATGGTTCCAGTTGAATTACTCAGACATGGCTTTGAATTTTAAACTTTTAATTGAAATATAAAGTGTTACTCATTTTTTTTTTTTTTTTTTTTCCAAATTACGTTGAGGAAATGAACCTCAAGAGTCTTAATTAAGCAATTCTTTTGCAAAATTTCATTTGTACCTTCTTAATATAGGCGTATTTTCAAAAAATGTATTCTTAGATTTAAAATTTTAATTAAAAATTTCTAATATTAGAAAAAAATTCTCCTTCTTACTACTCGTATTTTGTTACTACTCTTCTTTGAAAGATTCCAGAACCTTTCAGAATTAGGGTCGAGAAAAATCAGGAATCGCTTCTGAAATTCCTCTTTATCTAAACTATTCAGGATTCATTTCTACCTAAAACTTACTTTAAGTAAAACCATACAAAAAAGGGAAATGCTGCTTTGAATACTAAAAATAACATTAAATGAAATTTTATAATATATAGCAATTTGTTTTTCCATAACCAAATCTTTAACTCGCAAATATTTTAAGCTTTTTCTAAATAACGACTTTTAAAAGCAACATTTTGGAAGCTTTTCTATTTCATAGTAACTTTTAAATCCTCCGTCAAGCCCAAACTATTTACTGTAGTGTAGCTACGAAATTAGCATACCTTTGTTGGGCGAAATTTTATTGAAATCATCTACCAATCCATTGAAGAGATGAAATTAATTCACCCAATAAAGGTATGTTAATAAGAGAGAAACAAGTTTTTGGTATTTTTATACCAAAGTTAGCGTAGATTTTTGAAAGATTTTTAATTTTAAGATTCGGCTACTGTATTCTAAGTATCGTTGTATTTTGCTACCAAACTAGTTAAAAAATTTCACAAGCTGTATGTGAGAAAGTTATTTAAAATGCCAAAAAGAAATTTTATTTGGTTTCTTGTACATACAACAGAGCTTACATGCAAAGCCATTAATTAAGCTTTATTAAAACGCGATCCTTTAGTGTTCATAATACATTTGTAGTAAATTTTTTCATTTTTTGTTGTAAATATTGATGCATTATGTAATACATGTTAGAATGTTATAAATTGTGAATAAAATAGATATTATTTATTGAAGAATAAAGAATTTTCACATGCTAAAAATTGATTTGTTTTATTTCTGACCGCGTGTCTCAATACCAAAGATTAAAGTACCATATTCATAAATCAAAACTATACAGCAAAGTTAAACAAGAAAGTTCCTTGTTTTCCATAAACTTTAGCACAAGTAAATTAAATATACAACAATATATTGAACAATGTATTTCTAATCAAGTTTCCTAGAACATGAATACACTTTTTACCGCATTTAACAGCTTATCATCTCCACAGGTTGCAGAAACAGTTTGCATCATCAGGATATGTCTACTTTCAAAAGTACTTCTTTTGCCTATAAAGATATGAAGGCGGACATATTAGGAAGAATGTTCAACGGAAAAGACTACAGTTTTTTTTTTTTTTTTTTTTTTTTTTTTTTTTTTTGCGTGTGTGTGTGTGTGTGTGGATGTGATGTGTTTTGTTCAGTCTTGATTTGCAAAGTAGATAATTTAGGCTCCAGATCGAGGCAGATTCCAGAAATTCCGTTAATAGACTTTCTACTTCCTTTCACATTTCAGAACATAGGGACCAGAGCTAGTGAATTAAATGCTTTGAGCGTTTTCGGCAGAAGTGATGAAGGATACTTTCTTTGAAACAATGATGCACATTTGGCTTCATATATCATTGATGCACCTATGTCTCCTTACCAGAGTCATGATCAAAAGTTCATTTCTTCTTATTTCAATTTTCCATTTCTTCTTTCATTTTTCAAGTTTTATGTGATATGCATATATTTATATTCCTTTCTTTCAAACACTTCACTATTCATTATGCATGTACTTCGAAGGATCTGTTCTTGAAAGGATATCATGAACTTCGCCAGTGAGTGGTCTCAAAGTCGAATCGCATGAGAGCTAACGTTGGTCTGAAAACAGGTAAGGGACAACTTTTTTTTAGCAAAATGTAAGTTATTTATCACGGATGAATATTTATCAAAGCATGCATAAAGAATAATAATAACAATACAAAGGGAGGAACTCAAATTTATATTTATCTTTAATCTGAAATGTAAACCTTGGCACCTGCAAAACATTTTTCCTGATTACACTTTCTAATTCAAGCATATTGACAGCTAAATATTAATAATTAAGATTTATATTTATTTCAAATACTTTTTATAGCATAAAAGATGACACATCAAGAAGGGGAGTCCCAACAATCTGAATGGAACGAAATTGCATTTTCCCATATCTTTCGATAGAATATGCCAATGATTAACTTTTGTCAGCAAATAACTGACTAACGGGAGCTTCGGTGCATTGCAGTGGAGCATCCAGATGATGCATAAAATAGAGAATAGTCCGTAACATCCATGTGAATGTGATTCCGTCGACCCGCGTGGAGTGTACCAGTGCCTCGCAGAAGCGTTCGCGAGCAGATATAACCATTTGAGAGAGGATATGCAACTGGACTAAAGAAAGCAGGGTGGTCAAATCGCAGAATCGCTTGACAATCGCGATGCTACCATTCCACGATGTTGGCAGGGAATATGGCTGTACAGAGAGTCAAGGAAGAAGCGGTAGACCGAGAGGGACAGCAGAAGGCGAGGGCATAGAGAGCGACGAGAGAAGGCGTCCGATCAGCGTTCATAGCCCCTGATGTTTTTATTATTAACGAATCGACGTGTAGCTAGAACACCAGTGATTGCAGTGATCATTGGTAGACAACTCAACGAAGGTAGCTGAGGTCATGGAGGTCATTGCGCTAACTGCCTCTGACCGTTGTCCACCGCAATTTCAAAGTCTGATTTGCGCATTTGGCTTGGAATCTCACAGACCAGAGCGAGACTACTCAAAACCAGGCAAAAGTAGCCCATACACGGTTATATTGGTCACTCACTTCGGAGGTGATCCCGGGAGGCCGAAAACCCCAAGGGCAAACTTTAACATTATTTAACATCTAGTGATCACAGAGCTCGAGATACACTTGACAGTACCCTTACATTTCCCGTCCAGCCTGCATGGACAACCGTAGTATCGATGCTTCTAGCCCTGTGAAAGCAACTAATCTGCCCCATACTATCCATTCCCAACATATGGACGTTACGAGTGATCAGCTCGGGAAAGGGGGTCAGGTCGAATTAGCCGCATAAGCAAGACAGCCACTCTTGCTTTGCCGCCCCTCCACTGCGTCGAGGGAGACTAGAGAATAACTGTTTACAGCGACGAGACCCGCTTCGAACTGAGCACAGATGACCGCGAAGACGCATCTGGAGACGGCGGTGTGGTCTCATTGCCGCCACCACACTGCTCAACAACCAGGAGTTATGGTATAGGATGCCATTTTATTTTATTGTCATCCGTGACACCCGTATAGTACGGCGGTACATCGACGCTATTCTATGCACCATAGTGTTGCCTTCTTTTCACGGACCCTCGAGCTTGCATTTCAACAGGATAATACACAATGCACGCCTTTCTCTTGCTTGGCTTCGCGCTTCTCCAACACGATTGCCAGATCTCTTCCGAATAAAGTACAGATTAGCAGGCATCTCCAACAGTCCTTGATTCGCACCAATATAGCTCACCAACTGGAACGTGCATGGAGGGCATCAATGCCCAACCGGATAACAGTTTGCATCAGACCCAGAAGTGGGCCAGCACCTTATTCTTTTTCCTGTTGTAGCTGTATTTCCTGAGTAAAACATTTAATTCCCGCGATAATGTTAGCTTTTCGTTTTCAGCGCATGTACATCACATCTACCGATTTTCTTTCTATTCGGAAAACTCCTTCTTGGTGCACCGATTTTCAAGTTATAGAGTAAATCCAATATATTTAATTAATTATTAAATCACGTAATTTAATTTAAATTATAAATGAATATAGCTATTGTCCATGCATATTTTACTTATCTTTCTTAATAGGATATGTTGATGAAGTAGGAAATCCGTAATCCAGAATCTTATGCAAAGTTTTTTACCTTTTATATGCTCATTATAAACATAAAAATCGGCCGCAAATTCCACCGATTGAGCGGCTCTGACAGTGGTAGAAGAATTTATGGTCGAACTTCTTACGGATCGTTCACAGCATGACTTAAATATCACAGTCGTTATAAACACCTGTCGAACAGAACCTGAGCCACAAACAAACATGGTGGATAAATATACTAAAGAACTTGAGTTCAGGACATTTAGATACAAATCTTTACACCAGCTTCCGTGAAGTGACAAGGTCTAGTTGCCTTGTAACGAAGTTCTAAGCCAGTTGTGATCGTTAAGCCATCATGTGAATGCTTCTTTATAGTAAATACATTATTATAATATACTATTAAGAAGCACAGAAATAAAATTCTGCGTGGGTATGTGGAAAATACTAGGTATTCGCATATTCTTAATTTTTGAAAGCAGTTAGCTTTATATTTTAGCACTGCTCTTTGTAGCACAAGCTTTAAAACATTCAGAAAACAAAAATTTCAAACTGAGATGCAGGTAATTAAAACAGAAAGTAAAATTAAAAACATATTTTATTTTTGAAACATCATTTACTACAAATTATTAAATATTCTAAAATAATTTTTTAAATGTCTACAACATATCATTACCTTTCGCAATTATAATAGTAAATTTGAACTCCCTGCTGGTTACAAAAGGAATGCAGTTATATAAGGCCCTTTATATCATTGCATTAGCCAAAATCTAGTGAATTGGCTAACTGTTGATCTGGTTGATAATCGGGTTCCATAGGCTTCCCATTACAAAATCATTAACTGAAATATTATTTAGCTTCGCGTAGAGATACATATCCGGGTGGAAGCGCTAGGTCAGATGTTAAATAAGGCAGTCTCACAGTTGTTATGGTCAAGAGCTGCATAGGCTGATACGCGGGTTCCAGTGGCTTGCAAGGAGTTGGTAGTCGGCTGTTAGGTTCTACAATTCCATCAGTTTTGGGCGAATTATCTTTTCCATTGCAAGGCTGTACTTGAGTGTAGAAGGTGACGTCAGGCTGTATAATTCCTTCCGGTGCTAAAACTGAAAGTTAGTGAATTCGTTAGTGAAGGATTACTGAAAGATTTTGCTGAATGTAACAGGAAAATAAATGAATTAAGTACAAACTTCATTAAATGTAATTTCACAACAATAATTTCAACCAGTATTAAATTTAACAAATTACTTGGAATAAAAACAGCAAAACGTATCTGGAGACGGCGGTGTGGTCTCATCGCCGCTGCCACACAGCTCAACAACCAGGAGTTATGGTATGGGATGGCATTTCATTTGATTGTCATCTGTGACACCTCTATAGTACGGTGGTACATCGATGCGATTCTATGCACCATAGTGTTGCCTTCTTTTCACGGACCCTTGAGCTTGCATTTCAACAGGATAATACACACGGCACGCCTTTCTCTTGCCTGGCTTCGTGCATCTCGAACACTTTCCTAGCCAGCACGAACGCCAGATCTCTCAAGAATAAAGTACAGATTAGCAGGCATCTCCGACAGTCCTTGTCGGAGATATACTACTCTCTACCTTTTTACTCTACCTTTGTTACTCTACCTTTTTCTCACGAAGCATTGCATAATGTATATAAAATTAAACATATCGGAGTGTAAATAGAAGTTTACTAATAGATTGTGTTCAAGGCCAATCTAATTTTTTTCATATAAGAGATACATTTAATCACGTTTCTAATAGTTGGTCAATAAAATGTAAAATTACCCTACATTAAAATTATAAACATATTACATTATGCTATTCGTCATACTACCGATTCCAGCTTATGTAGTCTACAAGCAAAAATCGCTAGTCAAAGTTATGCTTGTAACGAGTATGCGATTTGCCTTGTTATTAGACTTCTTCAAGCCGAAAACAGCCAAAATGCAACTGAAATTCAGTGCAGATTATGCAGTGTCCATGGAGGAGGAATCTTCATATATGATATGTTACATGCAAATTGTACCATAAGTTACAAGAAAAGTGAAAATATTTCCATGTTAAGGAAGGTAAAACAAGAACGTCTGATGTTTTCCTAAGATAGTATGACAGGTTGCATTAATTGTCAGGCGGTAAGATCTTCTGACAAACATGTGATGTGTTTGGACAAATGTTTTAATCTGGAAGACAATTACGAAGAGAAGTATCATTAATATGTAACTAACTTGTCCATGTATTAAATTTTTTTCTTTTTTCCCATTTTTCTTTATTAAATCTTCAACCCTTAATTAAAAAGTAGACATCGCGTTGTACTGAATACTGATCAGAATTTTTACCTATTCAAAGGCAAAAACAAAACTAATAAGAAAAAGTGTCCCTACTAACTCTATCCATACGATGTATAATGCAAATAACATTGGCACAATATCGAAAAAACAACAAACTATGTAATTCAGTTTTCAGTTTGTTGAATATTGGAATTCTACAATATTAACTTAAATACTGATTTAAATTCTGTTTTGACAACAATTATTAACATCCTATTTTATGTAAAATTTTATTAGATAATTTTTATTGTCAACTGAGTTGCAGGAAATGTCAGTCATTATCATTGATAAATAAAACTATTAAACAATGGCGTCCTTGCCATATCCCACGTCTTTGATTTGGATTAAGAAAGATTCTATGAAGAAAACATACGCATTGATCTATTTTAATGCATGCTATTATTCATGAAATGAAATCTCTTCTTATGATACTGGCTTAAAATTTAGAGGTATCTAAAAATTTAGATCTGCACAGTCGATAGGATTTTCTGATGCTGGAGGCATGAAAAATGTACAGTGCCCTCGCCGGGACTCCGACTCCGAACACAAGTCGATAGTGCTTCCAGTTACACCACGAAGGCATGCGGAAAGGGGTGAGAAAATACCTCATATACTCCCCCTTTTAAAGGGAAACTGGTGGATGAGGAGCGTCAACCGCCAAATCCTGGTGGCGACGAATTATCGTTCACCATATTTTAGTTCGGACGCCACTTGTAGAATCATTAAGTTGTTTTTTTTTTAAATGCTTGAGACGTGAGAAATATGCACTGCACTCGCCGGGATTCGAACCGCGGACGTCCCGAATACGCGTCGAGTGTGCTTCCAATTAACCGAAGGCACTCGGAAAAGAGGGAGAAAATACCTTGCAGATCAGTTACACTACCACAATTCAACATGATATAAATGTAAAACGTCAAAAGTAAATGCAATTTCATAATATACTCAATGCTCAAAAGTTTTAATACCATAGCTAAAAATTTACTGCACCATTCCAAAAATAAAATGAAAATGCAACTGCATGCATTTTCTATGTGCCCACTACGTATTCACTATTTTTGGGGAACGAGAGATTCGTTTAGCTATCATTCAAGGTTTACACATAATAATAACAATAATAATTTTAAAAAAACTAATATGTAGTCATTAAATGACTACAGATTTCGCTAAAATAAAATTTCTAGTGACTAATAATGCAAGAAATATAACCAGCTTTACTTCCAAATAACTGGTAAAATTATGCATTTCAACAGATAATTAAAGTAATCTGCCATCTCCAGAAACAAATTAATTAGCACTTTGACAATCGAGACAACGCATTAGTGCAGAGTAATATGCTTCTGACGAAAGAAAACTGTACCAACTGACTCTCCAAATATACCTTTGTATTTTAAATTAAAGCTAAAAATTTGAATTTTATCCATTATTAAATTCGTTTCCTAAGTATTGTTTCAGAATTGTAAAACTGTAAATAAATTACCAAATTCGGAACTATGATTCAACAAGGCAAACCTTGTACTATTCGGGCAAATGAAAACTTCCCTGGATCAAAGTAATTACACGGTAAATCTATAATTACTATTTAAATTCGCTGACAGCCTGCCGTTAGTTTGATTCATAGAGATACACTTAAATTATAAGCGACTGAAATTAGCCAGTTGTTCACTAAATGGAGAATACGTATAATCAAAAGAGATCTGCAAAGCCTATTCAGAAGAAACAGACCTATGGAGTTCACCTCAACAGATCATGGAGGCAAGAAAGGAACTAACTTCCTATCTCCATGCAACGGATGTCTGTGGAGGGGTGTTAAGAATATCACATTCAATTAAAAAAAGCCTGCCATTTAGAATCGTGAACCGAAAGCGTTTTATTTATTTTAAAAGTTCAGAATAAATGTGTGAATAATGCTACGTACCTGTTCCTGAATATAAGCTTGGTAGAGGTTCTGAAAGTCTGACAACTGCGGTTTTATAAGGCTTTCGGCACCATATTAAACACGACAACACCAAAATGATGATAGAACAGCCAATTGCTATCGTTAATACCCTAAGAGAGAAAAATTATAAGGGAAAAACATAACGCTTATATAAGTGATAATGGATTGCAGTTTATAGGCATAACAATCAATAGTAGTATAAAAATACGGGTTCTGCTGCACGCGGTGTGCGGTGTGGGCGTGGCCAACGACGTCACACAGAGGGCGGGACCAAAGGCAACGTCATCACACCAGGAGGCGTGGTTTCGAGTGGAGTTGAGTTGTTTTTAGATTGCTGATTGAGTTGTAGACCTCCTGCTTTTCATTTAAAGTTAGTTTTTTTTTTAAATTGGCAACGGGAAATATTTTCTGCATCTTAATTTTGATGATATAGCGATGCTGCCCTCTATTAATGAAATGTGAATTATATGTTTTAGAAATATATTTTTTAAGTCTGGTGTTAAAATTATTCAATGTGCGACTCTGAAAACAATGTAAAAGAAACAAATATAAAGAAAAGACTTTCCTTTAATGAAACTACAAGATAATTTTTTTTTTTATTACTCAATTTTATTCTGATACTTTTATTCTTTCTAGTTTTTCTATGAAACTTTAACTTATTTCTCAGGTTTTCTGTTCATAATAACATATTTATTTACTGTCATATTTTTTTAATACTTAACGTTTTTCTAATTTGTAATATTTTATTTAATTTCCACATACTATTTTTTTTTTTCATACCTTTTCATACCATTTCAGCATACCCTGATTTTTAACTTATATATATTATATTTCACAAACGTTCCCGCACATGCTGTTTATTTGTTACACTACTTAATTTTTAGATGCAATTTCACACTTTTTTTTAACGTTATAATGTTCAATATATTCTGAAATTTTAACTTCATTTACTTTTTTTAAACCATTCTAGTATTCTATACACACTTTAACTTAGTGGTTTGAAATTCTATTTAAAAAGAAACGTTTATTTTTCGTGATCTCCTAGTTCTTTTTTACTAAATTTTCTACAGAATTTTCTAATTTCTTTTACATGTTTTTTAACATATATCTTCCTTACATTACCGAATATTTTTTTTTAAAAAACTTAAGTCTATAACTTTAATGTTAATTGCGTTTTTTTCTTACGTTCATGATTTCCCTTCTGTGTTTATATTTCTTAATTCTAGCTTAACTTATTTATTATAATGTTTTTATTTCTGTCTCATCATCACTCGTAATTCCAACATTTTATCCCTTTTTTATTCATTTTAACGATATGGATTGTTTTCATTTACTCCATATTCAAATATTTCCTTACAATTTTTAAAATACTTGTTTTATTCTCCGATCATAATAGATCATCTACAGTTTTACTCAGAAATTTCCATTCACAACTTTACAGTTTAATACCATTTATATCTAAATGCATTTCTTTCTCATATAGTTTTATGGATCTTCAAAGTTTCTAACATCATGTTTAGTTTTAAATCCCTATTACCTTTTATGTGTGTTGATAATTTTCATTTCTAATTTTACAACCACGTTCAGTGTTTCATCATCCACACATACCAAAATATTTCTTACATTTTCTGGTATTTAGTCTATGTCATATTTCAGTACTTCAAATGAATTTTTTACACTGCTCACACTATTATTTTTTTTTTCATGTTTTAGAGACACTAACTATACTAATTTTACTATTTTTCCATACACTAATTGCATCTATGTCAGCACTCATGATAAAGTAGCAATTGTTTTTGCATCACATGCATAAAGAAATTCTTAAAACCAAC